AAAATCCTTCTTTCATACATGTAACTCCTCCTCCAGTGGGAGTTGCAATGGCTTGCAAAGGCCCCATTAAGATCAACATACTGAATACTTGGGCATATCAGGAGTGACTTGAATTTCTCACCTTTTCTACAGGGAGATATAGGGACAATATATGAAGTTATTAAGTGTGGATGAGGGTAACACAGGTTTAAATACATAAAATTAACTTGGATTCATACAAGACATTTTAGTCAGGAATTAATTAAATTTAGATCAATGAACAAATTTAGAGAGTACTATAAAATTAATGTAAGTATGATAAGTTTTAACCACTGTAAACTCCAGCATCTTTTAAATGTATCTTTTCTTTAAACTGTCTCTATGTAAAAAAGAAGGCATAACACATATGCCTAAATCTAGGCATAAGAAGTATGCAATTCATCTTGATAGTTAAAGATAATGTAGCCACGTGCATCTTACACACTTCATTAGCTTTCTAGGTCACTGCAGCCAATGTTATGCAATAGTGTGTAATATCAGACACAGAAAACTAAGATGACCACTCTCTGGGTGTGACCCCTAAGCCAATTTGCCACCCATGTAATTATCTGCATCACAGCCTCTCAGTGTATCTGTGAGAATAGGTCAGTTTATCTGTGAAAATAGGAGGAGTGGCTGAGGAGTTCCTTAGGGAGCAAAACATGCCTGCAGAAGCCTGTAGGCTACACAGCCTGCTTTACATGTATGCAGAAAACATCCCTGGTGAAGAAAGGGATGCATTTAGAGGGAGCAGCTGTGGTGAGTTCTCTTTTTTTGTCATGATGATTTTAAATAAACAGCATCAGATTCTGGAATTGATTTGTGAGAGACAGTAGCTGGCATGGTTCTGATGACTTGGAAAAAGGTTATAATATAACTTTAGTCATGAGACTAGCTAAGGTCATGTAGAGGAAGCAGAGGGTGTGCCAAGGAAAGAAAGCTTTGAGAAGCTGATAGTGGAAGAAGTGAAACTGTCAAAAAAGACTCAGTGTCACAGATATAGGAGACCCATCCATGGATATAAAGGCTCTGGGTGTGAAGAAAGAGGAATAAAGAGTCTAAAATTATCTTAAGTGTGGAGTCAGAAGTGGTGGGGAGAGAAGGCTATATTTTCTCAGATAGTGGTTATATTGGTGACCTCAAGGCCTAGTCTTCAAATCCTTCAATATATGTAACCTAAGCTAACTAGAAACAACTTTCTTCACTTTGACTGTGACTACTTATGAGTGATAAATTCTTCAATGAAAGTGCAGGCTTTTAGAACAAAGTTCAAGCTTCTGAAGGTGAGACACAAAATGTACATAGAGACCTATCTTGATTTTAGGTTACATGCAGGCATTACATTTTATATTGCCCCAGGCAAGCTTCAGGCAATCGAAATGGCTGAGTGCAAGCATTAGGTTACTCTAAAACTGGCACACATGATCTAAAGTTAGTTTTTGTCAGACAAGAGCCAACCTTAGCCTGGTATGGGGTTAACCCAGCCTAGAGAATGCTTGCATGGGTCCTCAGGACAACCCCAGAGCTAGGAAAGGCAACCCACTCTGCATAGTCCCAAGGTCCCAAGGGACTCTGCATAGTCCCATAGGTCCCTATTTTTACTCCCGACCCTAATCCTCCTCCCCTCTACCCCCTGCCACAACAAGCACACTCCTGGATTCAGCAGCCCCACCACGCAGCCCCACCGGCCTCCCTGGACGTGCCAGCCCCCACAATCCCAGCATCAGCCCCTCTGCAGACTCACAAGCCCTATACAGCAATCTGGCTCCATTTTAGGTGGCTTAAACTAAGCTAACTAAACCTGAACATTTGTTCTCACACCCTTAGAGGACTCGTTGGCCATATATAGTACTGCAAAGTTTTCAGATATCAATGAGGAGAGGTTCATGTTGAGAAACAGAAGTTAATGATGAAAGTTATTTGAATAAGGAAGAAGGATATCTTTTGAAAAAAAAAAATGCTCAGAGGATCTTGTTCTAGATGCATTTTTAATGATTTTTGTTTATATTAAAAGAATAGTTAGGATACTAGAATATAAGGACTACTGCTATTATAATTACTGGGTCCTGAAAAAAGTTGTTGAAGACTGTAACATATAAATAAGCTGGTGCATCTCTCTCTAGGAACACTAAATCTAGCTCTTTTAGAATTCTCTGCATCATAGGAAAATGATGGATAAATCCTCTATTCCAAAGTTGTCAGGCATTTGCTTAGTCATCAGTTTACAGATTCACTAGAATCTATTAGTCATATATGTCAGCATTTTCTGAAGTTGTGTTAAGCAATCAATATCTAGTGAGGTTTCTCACAACTTTTTTTTTTAACTTGTTTCACTATTCAGCATGTTTATCTCTTGCAAGTATTTGCTTTACTGTGTGTGACTGTGTATGTATACATTTCTACGTTTTAGCATAGAACTAATTGGTTGTTCATACCAGAGCAAGATCAGGTGCTACTGCGCAAGATCAGGAAAAAATATGTACATCCTATTCAATTATCATTAGCTGCTTGTCCTGCTTGTTTCTGTCTAATTGATTTTAGACTTAGGGCATATAGAGGCAGGGACTGGAGAACCCAGAATTATATATCTTTGTAAAACATCTCAGGGAAGACAGCTGTAAACTAGTGCTAGGTGAAAAAGGTGGCTGCTAAGTGGTGAAATGCAACCATAATATGTAATGTCTTCCCTGCTAGCTCATGTAGCTAAGTTATTCTGTATCCTAGTGGTTAAAGCACTCACCTGGTAGGGGTTACTCCTGAGACCTATTCCTTTTACCCAGAATTATTTCTATTTTTCCTAATCCTATATCTGTATTATATAAAATATATAAACAATTCTGGGAGCAGAAACCCACTGTTCCCCCACTTCCAAAGTGAATGACCTGAATGACCCCTTTCTTCTTACCCCCATGAATCCATATTTTTTCACCACAGTTGCTCCTGTATCAATATGGGAAGGGGGAATATATTCCTACCTATCTATTTAGCTTTGATGAGGGCACTTTGGTGGGATATGGGAGGTACAGGTTTGATCCCACACTTTCTAAGGAAGATCTAGAGCTCAGGAAGATCTAGAGCCCACTTTCTAGAGCAAGTGTGTATCTATAACTTCCCAGTTACCTGTTTTATATGGAAGGTTTGCACCACTATGCCCATTTTAAAGATAAAGCACCCTCAACTATGTTTTGTGAGGAGGCTGATCTTATTCGTATGTGTTATACAAGCCCCAAACAATCCCAAAGCATCAGTCCCCATCAAGGATTTAAGCATCACTGCACTCATGCAGTCGTGAGAGAGAATCTATGCAGGGCATGGCAAAGCCTGGCATTCCTATGACTGGAATTGCAGAACTTTTATGCCAAATTGGGAAGTGTCTATGACTTCTGGTGCTTCAGGGTTAGGCAGCCACTGAGCAGGGGCTTTTATGGATAGCAGTATTGGATTTGGGTGCCTAATATCCACATAGGTATGTCTAGGCACCTACATGTTTCTTTGGTTCTAGTTTATGCTACATTATTACAATACCCAATGGTTTTACAATCACTGCCAAGTTGTTCAAAAATGCCCTGTTTTCCAGCTCAGTTCCCTGCTACTGCTACCCAGAAATACACTTTATCTTAAGCCATGTCTGGACCACACCTTTACCATACGTGGCTGCTGCACCTTCAAATACACCGCTATGCTTGTTCAGGCTGGTTCCTGAATTGGAAGCAGAATATGCATATTTGCATAACATGGTGGTCAGGCTATTTGACACTGGGGTGGGCTAACTGAAATTGCCTCTTAACAGTTCTAATTAGGTCACCTATGTACCTGGGAGAATCTACTGAACGACATGGTGCTGGGCACAATTTTGGTTAAGAAAATTGCCAAAGTGACCTGCTATTTAGCTGAGGTAGACCAAGCTTGTCTTCTCAGTGAGAACTGTTCTTTGTGTCCAGAAGGGGATTTCCTGAGAGTGACAGATCTGCTAACAGTAGAGCTTAAGCAATGATGGACAGCCAATTTTTTTCCACCAAATTTTGAAGATTCAGGGCATAAGCAAACTATCAATTTTCTTTTTGAAATGTATCATGCTAAATTATGTATTACAAGATAAACACTTGAGTGTGGAATAAAAAGGCAATAGGGAGAAACAGCCTTTGCCGCATGTGTGTTGGAATGCAAAGGTGTCTGAAAATGGCAAGAATGACACATGATTAAGATGTTTCTTTCAATACAGATTAAAGTGCTGTTATGCAAGGTTGATGTCTCTAGAAAAAAATCTTATGGAGTTCACTGTTTGTTTTGTAATTCAGTCATCTCTCAAAAAATTGGGATACTATACATGCAAAAAGATGTTGGGGCTAGAGAAGCTTCAACCTACCTTCATGGAAATGCCACCAAGGAGTTGAAAAACAATCTGTATTCTAACTTGCACATCAAGTTTCTATAGCTGGAGTTTACCTTTTAATCCTAGAAACAAATGCATAACTGGAAGAGGAGCCAAATGGACCAAAAACTTGTAGGATGTGAGCTTTATTTAATAATTTTGTTGACAATAAATGTCTATTGCAAATAGATAGTCCAGTTAAATCTTTGAGACAGGTACCATGTATTCTTTTTTGCTAAAAGGCATAAATAGTAGTTTAAAAATTTTGCAAACTCAAATATTAGAGTGATTGGCCCATGATGCCAACCTTAATAGAATGTGTTAATGGGGCAGAGAACATTGAAGTGTCATTCATTTCAGTATGAGTGAGGATCATTCAGCATTTGTCAAAACAGCAAATTCAGCAGATATGATTGAAAATAAAGACAAAGATTACAAAGTTAATCACCACAGTACTTTACAGTGAGGCATGTTCATCTGTTCATAGTAATACTGCTAAAACAATTCCTTTGGCTTTCCAACAGGATTTAGGCAATGAGAGTAGACTTGTCACCATAACTTGCACATATGCACTTTGCACCATAACTCACACATGCACTTTATTGTTGGCTCCAGCAAGAATGGTATGGAGGAGAATTAGAAAGGTTTATAAAACAGAAAAGCTCCTGTTTTGGCAATTCAGGAAAATTCCATTGTGAGGTGCTTAAAGGAGAAAGAAAAGAAATTCAGCACATGAAAGAGAATGTTGCTACAAATCCATTCCTAATCATGGTAGTTGGAGTAATTGATTTTTTTTTTCGTTTCAAACTTCAGGATACAGTATTCTGAAATAAATCAAAGAAAATGATGATCATTTGGTTAGATTAGTTATTGTGAGTTTATTATGGATTGCAAATATACTTTTTCTATCTGTTGTAGATTTTATTTACTATTAGAAAGTACAGGTACTTAATTATTTACTCTAAGTCATCCATTAACACTGTGCATTTGTTAAAAAGTAATTTTCTAAGAGTTCCCTAATTAGCATTATGGATTTGTGTTTATGTGCTTGTTCTATTTTACAGCACACTTCATTTGCATGAGGTAATGAATATCATTAAAGTTGTTTTTCTTTTTTTTTTTTTTAAACAAAAAAAGAGTAGTTTACATAATATTTCTGTGAAAATAGAGTAGGAAGCATAAGAAAGCTAGTAGAAGCAGAAAATAGATAATTCCTCAGCTGTGGTAACAAGGATACTTAACATTAAATTCTAAATCTAATACCTAAACTGGTAAAAGGTTTGTTTTTTTTTTTTATTTACTAGAGCAGATATTTTCTGCCTTAATTCAGAAAAAATAGCTTTAACATTTTCAGACTTTGTTCTTTAATGTCATCATATCCATAGATTTTACTGTATAAAATCCCTTTTCGTATTTAGCCAGTTTTCTTGTAGTATATTAGTAACTTTTATTGTACCTAGACCATTATTACCAACAGAACAATAAACATGCATGCAAGTCAGCAGCCTCTGAGGTTTTGATGATACATAGAACATTATTTCCTTAGAGCTAGTTTCATCTGTTTACTTGTCTGTTAACAGAATTACAGATACAATAAAGCATTTCCAGGGCACTTAACAGTTTATTTAATCATTTACACTAACTCATTTCCTTTTCTTTATAGTTAATTATTAAATGCTAGCAGATTATGGCTGTTTTAGATATCACTGGGTACATCTACACATGCATTAACTTGCTTTACTTAATGCATATTAAATCTAGTACTTCCAGGTGCCTGTACATGTGCGCAGAGGTTGCTCTTATGTTCTGTAATTAATCGAGCCTGCTGGACTAGTAATTTCTGTGCTCCAGCCAGCCTCTGTCTCTCATGTATCAGCATCCCCACTCTTCAAAATAGCGGCAGCGGCACTTTATCTAATGTTTATTGAATGACCTTTAGATAAAGCACCCCTACTACCATTTTAAAGTGCAGAGGTACTGATACACGAGAGGCTCTGGGTGCTTTAATTAGAGTGGCTCTGAGAGCTGCTTTAATTAAAGTGCCCACCCCCCACCCCGCCCCACCTATGGAGCACATGTATAGATACTAGGAAAATGTGCATTAGTCTGTCTTAATGCACAGTAACTAAAGAGCATGGGGCTTTATACACGTACCTTTTCATCCTGCAATGTGCAGGATCTGAGAGGTCTGTATGGCATACCATTGTATAAGCAGTGAAATGTGCATGGTTTTTAAGTGCCCATGGTTTTTAAGTGACACTTAATGTGTATTAGCCAGACCTGTGTGAAGCGGCTAGTATTCACTTCAGATTTGGATTTGGCCGATTCAGGGGACAGTGATTCAATTTGGTGATTCAAATCACGGACCCAAATTGATTCAGCCAAATCTGATTCAGAGATGCAGCCATTGCTGAATCAGCTTACTTGCAAAATCAGACAGGCCCCATTCCCCCACCCGCTCTCCCAGCCTCATCAATGGCTGCCCCACCCAGTCCCAGCTTAGGACTCTTTAAAAAAAAAAGCCCTTTAAAAAAAAGCCCAGGCTCACCAGCTGCTGCCAGATGAGGTGGGCAATCCCCGCTGCATTGAACTACCCCATGCTGTTGGGGGGCTCTGCCATGATCCCCCAGAAACCCCAACAGTGGCTGCAACTCTGGCAAGTGGGGGCTTTTTTTTTTTTAAAGAACCAGGAGCTGGGGCAGGCAGGCAGCCATGCGGGGTGGGGGGGAGGCTGGGAAAGTGGGCGGGGGTTGTGGGGCTCATGGAAGAGCTTTGCAGACAGTGTGGGGCAGTAGGAATTGCCCGCCTGCCTGGCAGCAGCTGGTGAATGTAGGGCTTTTTTCTTTTTTTTCCAAGAGCTGGGGCTGAGCACAGCAGCCATGGGGGGCTGGGAGAGCAGACAGGGGTCAGGGGGCACTTAGGGGGGCTGGTGGATCAGGCAGGGGATAGGGCCTGGTGAGGGTACCCCCATGGTACCCTCCCCCCCTACCCCCTAAGTACCAGCATGGAGTCTGGGTCCAGCTCCCTACGGCAACTGTCCAAATCTCCGAAGCTCTCTGATTCTTTTCTGAATTGATTCGGACCATTTTATTGGTCTCCTGTTTTGATTTGGATTCAGAGATTTGGGTGCTGTATCAGGCCAAATCTCCTCCAAATCGAATCAGCCCCCAAAGCTTCACACAATCCTAGCATTAGCCTATTTTAATGCGCATTAACTAAATAGCGTTTTTTTTACTGAAACTTTAATGCACATTAAAATAGGCTAACGTGCATTAAAGCCCACATATAGATGTGCCCAATAATCTAAATGGTAATGCTGTCTGAAGGATGAGTTGTCCAAATGTTGTTTTAAATGGCTTTGTATAGTTTGTATGTGGTTAAATGCACATAGATAAATGAATAGTTTTATAGTTTTGGTGGCATATAGTTATCAGCAAATAAAGAAAAACTAACAATTCATGGAACAGATTTGGAACTAGTTTAGAAGAAAAGTTTTGAAGTTAATGGGAGTTTTGTCTGTGTGTGGAATGATGGTTCAGTTTCCAGATTTAGTAAATTATAAGCCAGCATCTTGCATAGCTGTCCTTACAATCCTAAAACAACTTTTTAAGCTCAGAAGGTATTGTTACCCCATTTTATAGATCAGGAAAGAGAGCAGTTTATGGACTGTGATCTGCATCACCTTATGCATCAAATCAAGAAGAGAACTTAAGTCTTCTGTCTCCAATGCTTCTATAGAATCCCTTAGGGAATAAATTCTGCCTCCATTCTGAAGCCAATAGCAAAATTTAGGGTGCCTGTACACAAGCATGGAGCCTGTTCCAATGCACTGTTACCACTTGTTGGAACATACTCTACTGCACAGAGTCTGCTGGAGCATGGTACTGACCATGCTCCAGCAGTCTCCCACATCTCCTGTACCAGCACCCCTACACTTCAAAATGGTGGCAGGGGTGTGTGAACTAAAGTTTGCTGAACCAGCTTTAGTTCAAGCATCGTCACTGCCATTTTGGAGTGCAGGGACACTGATACGCAAAACACTGTGGCATTTTAATTAGAGCGGCTCTTGGAGCTGGTCTGATTAAAGAATTGTCCCCTCCCACACACAGAGTACATGTAAAAGTACCCCAGATGACTTCACAAGAAAGTATTACTCCATGTACACAGAGTTAGCAGACTGTAGCCTTTAAGTTATTAGATTAAATCCTAGCTTTGAATCCTATTAAAATAAATGATGGCCCTTTAACTTCTTTTAATAGCAGATATCGAAGGAAACGATTCCTTTCTACTGCTAAAGGATAAAAAGCTAAAATAAATAGAATCAAGTATGCACAACATGGGGATATACTGTAAGCATTGGTAATGGCTATAAATATATGAGTATAATGTCTTTTTACATAAATATGTTGTAAGGCAGATGTTGTGGTTACTTTATCAAGACTAGCTCATTTTTATTTTATATTTTCTATATTTAGCATTAGGGAAAATGATTCATGGCTAACATAACTCAAAAGAATATTAACATTTATCCTAGGGGTATTACAGGTGTTGCAGCCTGTCCCACTTATTTGAGCATTTTGTATTTATCTCCAGAGTGTCTTCCTTCAAAAGGGATATCTGCTACATTTCTGCATCACATCCAGCATCAATCACTTTGATTAGGGTCTCACTCCAGAAAGCCAGCAGCTTTTCTTCCATGGCAGCTCCATATGTTTGCCACAGCTGTTACACTTTTTAGGCAGACTGTGACTGTGTTCTGTTCATAGTTTGTGTCCCTGTCAAAAAGGCAGTAGATTGTGCTTTGATTTGTCTTGAAATTAAATGACTTGAAATATTTCCTACAGCCAGTCCAAAGTTACCATTAGGAGCATAAGTGAAATTACATCTCTATATCTTTTGATAACTAGGAGATTAGAAAGAGCACATTACTAGCACTCATACCAAGAAAATTGTTTGAAGATTAGGCAAAGGTCACAGGAAGAGATCGCTGATGAAAAGGTTACTCTAGGGAAGTTTTTAACATGGATCAAATGAGGGAACACCTAATGTCAATTGATAACCAGTCTGTTAATAGCTACCAGTTTGAAATTTTCTCTTGCATTTATGATTTTCTTGTTTTATCTTGGGAAATATATTTCAGTTGTTCTAGTTAATTTTGTTACATTGTAGTAAGAAACTATGTATTGCAGAACTATTATACACAACATTGAATGCAGTGCAAGAAATGTATTCACAAAAGACTACGTATATATTCACACCAATGCTCTATAGTTCTTTGAAAGAAACCCTGAAGATCAACATTTAAACATGCATGGTTTTGCTAATGGATAATAGAATTCCAACATTTAAGAAATACAGAGAGAATAGCATCCAAAATACATGTATATAACATCTACACTAGTAACAAGGGATTATACTTTGGTTTCTGAGCAGTGGTGAGTTTTTATAGAGGTTTATTGGGAAGCAGTTTAGTTTAACAACTAACTAGGTTCTTTTGGCTCTTCCTTGCCTACATGCCTGTGAAACTCCATATATGATAGACCCACAGAACTGGCGACTGAGGAGCAGTTTTCAAAGAGGTATATTTATGCCCATAATGGTTTTACAAGGGTGCACACTCAAGTGATGTCTATTTTCAAAACTCATATGAATGCACAAAGAGAATTTGAAAATTAGACCTGCTGGTTTAATGTTCTTATCACACCAGAAATTTTACAGTAGATGTCTGTGTGTCAGGCTGCTTTACTTGGAAAGTAACAACTTGAAAAGCTAATAATCTGAAAAATCTGACATTAGTTTGATGAACATTTTCACATAACACTTA